TACCACAGGTTACATTTATTTTTTAAATATATTTTTATTGATTTCAGAGAGGAAGGAAGAGGGAGAGAGAGATAAAAACATCAATGATGAGAGAGAATCATTAATTGACTACCTCCTGCACGCCCCCTACTGGGAATCTAGCCTGCAACCCAGGCATGTGCCCTTGATTGGAATCAAACTCTGGAACCTTCAGTCCCCAGGCCAACATTCTATCCACTGAGCCAAACCGGCTAGGGCTGGTTTTGACTTTTTGAACCATGTTAATGTTTCATATAACCAAAAAGTAAAATTTAATCAAAAGGAAAGCATTACAAACCTTAAAATTAAACACAAAAAGCTAACAAGTTTAAATGTTTATCAAATTGATAACAAAGACACATCGAGAAAAGTGATTCCAACTAACATATCAACACAGTCCTGACTCTTCTTAATGAAATATATTCTAAACAGAACTGCAAAAAGAATTGTAAACATCACCTAGTACATTCTTTAATACTAGTAATATTATAATGTGAAACTTTATACATATATGTGTATATATATATACACATGCAAATTAACTGCCAACAAAGATGGAGGCTAATTTGCATATGTAGACCGAAGTGGCAGAGCGAAGACTGAAGGTGGCTCCGGCCGAAGCAGTGAAGGCTTTGAAGGTGGCTCTGGCCGGAGCGAAGGCCTGGGTGTCCGGTGCTGAAGGAAAACTGGTGCAGGCAGCCAGGGGAAGGGAAAGCCTATTGCACGAATCTTTTTGTGCAACAGGCCTCTAGTATATATATATATTTCACAAGGTTAAAGCAAAAAAGTAAATGTATTAATATTATCAAAAGCCAAGATATACAGTATAAGAAAAAGAAATAAAAATACAAAATTCAAGATGTAAAGAAAAAATAATGGTAATGTTGAATTGAATAATGGTAATATTGAATTGAGAATGCCAGTTCGAACTGATTTTAAAACAAAACAACAAAAACTGTGAATTAGTCTTGAAGTGATTCAACCCCAAAACGCAATAGATACACATAATATGCTGATGTTTGTTTATAAATAACATTCCCTTCTCAAAAGTACCAAGGCTGCTTAGAGAAATGACTGATGCCGGCTCTGGGACAAGGAAAATACAAGGAGAGCCTTGGATAAATTAAAGTGTACCTTTGTAGGCAAAGAACAGCTCAAACACTAATAAGTGTGTCATGTCACAAGGACACAGGGACCTGCTTGAAAAAGCTGGCACTGATTGCATCTGAGGGCAACCTGAACATCAAAAATAATAAATATTGTATTTGATTATAACCCTTGAATAAATAAAAATTTATGGGAAGTAGGTAGAATAAGGAAAGCTCTTTATTAAAGAAGAAAGCCAGCTAATAAATGTGGGTGGAATGATAGAATTAGAAAAACTTTGCAACCTCAGCGTCCTACCTGTTTCAGACATGGATGAAAATCATTGGGTGAAAGATTGTTCAGGAACAAGATAGTCATATAGTTTTAATGTACTACCCATATTACATACTAATTCCAAGTGGAAAAAAATATATATCTTTATAGTGAAGCTGTCTGGCAAACACAACTTCAATTAATTGATCACAATTAGCATCGCTGAACTGCCATCTTGGGTCCCCCTGTATTTGAGCTTATTATCAGCTAGTCTACCCAAGACCCCCTGAGTGCCAACCCTAGTCTCCCTCGCTGCACCATCTCCTCTCCAAAAAGATGAAAGAAACTATCCTGAACCAGAAG